TAGGACTTGTTTGTTTAACATCTTCATGGATAAAATATGATGCTTCTGCGTATTCCTTGTCGCACCAATTATATAACTTACATGAATGCATGTGCTAACCCTTACTTTTTGAGCGACTTTTTGTCATCTTGTTCATTCTTTTCAATGAGCCTTGTCAATCTTTCTCGGCACCCGCGCCCCTTTAGTTCAACTCTGTTGCTGTCCGAACTAAAGACTTCACTGAGAATAGTTGCTAATTCATCCCATTCCTGATGTGTTTGTGGCTTTCTGGAAGCAACTTCTTTAGCCAGGGCAATGTCATTTTTAAGACTTGGCCATCTGAACGGAGCCATCTAGGAAACAAAGAATGCATTTACATATCATCAGAAATCTGGTTTTGTTGTAATTTGTTTATCGTAGTTTAACCATAAAGTAATCCGACTGGCAAATCAGTTCCAACAACAAATAGCCGGCTGCCATGTTTGTTTTCATTCGTTTGTTCACTTCTATTTTAGCTGAGAAATCGTCTTCAAAGTTACGTTTCTATAAAAAGAATTCGATAATTAACAAGCGAAATAGTTCTAAACAGTAGTATTTCCTCTCAAACGTGGGATTGTGATGTTTTAGGGTGCAAAAAAACTTGCGGTAAATCACTTACCTCTAGAGCGTGGTCTTGACGTACAAACGTGAACCTCAAACCGCAAACCTGACGGCAAGGCTCTGGTCACGTGACTTCTTGACGTTCGCGGTTCGCGGGAAATGCCGAAAAACCTCAATCTTAAGGTCTCTATTATCAACAGTACCGAGACGCTGGTCTCTCAAAGAAAAAGTTCCATGGGGTGAAGTTGTCTGAACTAGACCAGTTAGAGAAAGTATACGAGGTGAACATTCAAGTATACAGTCTCGCGCCAACCCAAACACACTGCAAAGAACACGAAGAAAATGAAGAAAATAGACCTGACATCTCTCCTTCACTCATTCGCCGCTCTCACCGCCATTATGCTTGTACTCTGTACCTCAACCTCTATGAGAACCATTTCTCGTATATTAAAGATCTCGCCCGGTACTCAAAGTCCTTCTGCTGTTCAAGATGTGGTAAATACTGGAAAAAAGGCTTCAGATTGAATAGACACGAAAAGACCTGTGACGGCAAAGTCCACCTCAAGTATCCTGGCGGAGCGTACCATGTACCCAAAACCATCTTTGAGGAGCTCGAAGACGAAGGAATTATTGTCCCAGAAGAAGCCTGCTATTTTCCTTACTGCGCCACGTTTGATTTTGAGTGCTTTTTTGAGAAGGAAAAAGCACAAGAAAAGAACACAGAAAAATTGAACTGGGAATCGGCGCCTGTTCCCCTCAGTGTGAGTGTGTGCAGTAACGTACCTGGTTTTGAAGACCCCAAGTGTTTTGTGTCTAACGGCGACCCAAACGTGTTTATTACAGAATTTATGCAGTACCTTGTTTCTATCAGTACAAAAAGTGCTTCTATTGTCCGTGAACAGTTTGCACCTGTGTTTGAAGCACTGAAGCAAGTACCTAACCGCGATGACTCAACAGAAGACCGATTAGCGCAAATACTTGTTGATATCCAGGAGGGTAGTCAGCAAGCTGAAAGTGAAGAAGGGGAAGATAATGATGAAGAATTAAGTGACAACGAAAGAGACATCAATTTGATGGCAAGTGATGACGATGACGACGAGGAAGAAATCGAACCGGAGAATGAGGAAGATCGCGCGTTTCTCAATGATGAGATAACAGAAAACGACCCTTCCTTTTACAGAAGACTGAACGTTGAGTTGGATACTGAGAGGAGACGAGAGGAGACAACAGCGAGATGAGCTAGCCCAGTACGAAGATGTGTTGTTTGGTCAAGAGCAGACTAGCGACAACAAAGTCTTAACAAAGCTAGCTGAAAAACTGAACGCATACTTACAAGAACTGCCCGTGCTAGGCTTCAACTCTGGCAAGTACGATCTCAACGCTGTGAAAGAATTTGTATTTCCCTACCTCATTGAGTCTCAACCCATCAAGTTCACTGTCAAAAGAAACAGCAACCATGTGTCTCAAGACAAACTCCTTAAAATTTCTGGACATTTCGAACTATGTCACGCCGGTTTTCAGCTATGACCAGTTTCTAAGAGCGTATGAATGCGAGCAAACCAAAGGTTTCTTCCCTTACGAGTGGATCCACAGCCTGGACAAGCTCGAAGAAACATCTCTGCCCTCCCATGAAGCTTTCTACTCAAGTCTGAAGAACCAAAACATTACAGAAGAAGAATATGAGTACTGCCAGCAAGCATGGGAAGAAAATGAAATGTCCACCTTTCAAGAGTTCTTAATCTGGTACAATAATTTGGATGTCGTTCCTTTCCTCGAGGCAGTAGAGAAAATGAGTCAGTTCTGGCAGGAGAGAAAGATCCATATGTTTAAAGATGGCATTTCTGTCCCTGGTTTAACCCTCAAGTACCTCTTCTCTTATCTTTCACCTCAAACTTACTTCAGTCTCTTCGATCAAGCGAACAGTGATCTCCACCATCTGATCAAAGACAACAACACGGGCGGCCAAAGTATTATTTTCCACCGATATCATGAAGCCGGCAAAACAAAGATCAGAGAAGCAGAGGAAGGCGAGGTTGCTAAGCTGTGTGAGAAGATCGTGGGTTATGACGCGAACGCTTTGTACCTCTGGGCGCTCATGCAAGATATGCCCACAGGAAGTTATACGAGACGCCTGGCGGACAATGAGTTGAAACCAAAAAGTTCTGTACGCATGGCTATTGAATGGTTGGAATGGGTGGCGCACAAAGAGGGAATTCACATCAGACATCAGTTAAACAATGCAGAAAAGCGCATCGGTGGTCGTTAACTACCTGTAGACGGTTTCAACGCGCAGACGCAAACTGCGTACCAGTTTCACGGCTGTTATTGGCACGGCCATGACTGTGCTCTCAACGGAGGGAAAGAGTTTAACGAGAAACGCAAGAAACCTATGGCTGAGATCAGAGAAGAAACGAGAGCCAACACGGAGTATATCCGCAGCAAAGGGTACAACGTGGTGGAAATGTATGAAAGTCAGTGGAGAGAAATGAAGAGAACCAACCGAAACTACGGCGTTTTATTGCCACCGAAGTGAGAAGAACCCTGGATCAAGTCAAGATCATGAGTCCCGAGCGAATATTGAGCGAGGTGCGACATGAGCGTTTGTTCGGGTGCGTGGAAGTAGATATTCGTGTACCAGATCACTTAAAGGAAAAGTTTAGTGAAATGTGCCCGATCTTCAAGAACACAGAAATCAGCCGCGATGATATTGGTGAATTTATGAAAGCGTACGCCGAGGAGCACAACATCATGGCTCAACCCCATCGCAGTTTGATTGGGAGCATGAAAGGAGAAAAGATCCTGCTGGCCACACCCCTCCTCAAGTGGTACCTGGAACATGGTTTAAAGGTCACGAAAGTGCACCAAGTGATCGAGTTCACCCCTTAACCCTGCTGCAAACCGTTTGGGGATGCGGTGTCAGACGCGAGGAGAGCCGGAGATGCGGACCCCAGTAAAGCCATCATTGCAGATACCATGAAATTGGTAAGTTTTTTGTTTCATTCTTTCATTCATAAAGGGGTGGGAACGATATACATTTTCACGTATAGAAAAAACATATCTTTGTTTATCTCTCAGGTGGGCAATTCAGGCTATGGTAAGACGATCACCAACCAACTGAAACACAGAAACGTGGAGTATTGCAGTGACGCTCAGGCCAGCCGAAAAGTGAACACCCACCTTTTCGGTAAACTAGAAAACATCACTGAAGATACTTTTGAAGTGCAGTCTTGCAAAAAATCCATTAAATTAAATCTACCCATTCCAGTAGGCTTTTTTGTGTACCAGTATGCCAAACTTCGCATGCTACAGTTTTATTATGATTTCTTAGACAAATACCTAAACCGCTCAGATTTCCAAATGTGTGAAATGAATACAGATTCAGCGTATATTGCCATTGCAGGGGATAGTGTTGAGTCTTTGGTCAAATCAGAATTGAAAGCAGAGTTTGAAGCTGATAAATGTAACTGGTTTCCCAGTACCGACACTGCGGAGCATAAGGCCTATGATAAGAGAAAGCCAGGTCTTTTTAAAGTTGAGTGGGAGGGACAAGGAATCGTGGGTTTATGTTCCAAAACCTACTACTGTTTTGGAGCCAAAGATAAGTTTAGTTGTAAGGGTGTCAATAAGAAATGCAATGACATTAACAAAGATAAATACCTTAATGTCTTACTTACAAAACAAAATAGTGCTGGGGTGAATCGAGGGTTCAGAGTTGTAAATAATACTATGTACACTTATACCCAGGTCAGAGATGCCTTTTCGTACTTTTACCCGAAACGTAAAGTTTTGGCTGATGGAGTTAGCACCACTCCACTCGACATTTAAAGTGTTCAAGTTTGTAAAAAAATGGATTTTGTAAATACTTTTCGTTTTCTCAAGTTTGTATCATATTGCTCTCAAAAATAGTTTTCAGAAATATTTACATAAGATTGCTGCTAATTGTAAGTAGTATATTTGCGTAGCTTTTCACGGATGTTTGTACATAGCAAATTAGTTTTTAAATAAACAAAGTTGGCAGAATTTAATCATGGCTTGATCTCTGTCTAGCAACGCGCACGACCCACGCGCATCCTTGGGGAAAGCACAGCGCTAAAAATGGCCCTCGAGGTCCGTGTGGCCCGAATGGCCTGATATATTTTGTGTTCTAAATCATTTTGTTCAGTTTTAGTTCATCTTTCATACCGTAAACATGAAGAGGAAATGTAAACATTGTCCCATTCCTGGTTGTGGATCCAAATTTTTAGTAAGATTAGCAAATCATTTAAGTCAGGTTCACGAATTATCGGAAATAGAACAAAAATATTGGCTTCAATTTGCCAAGTTACAAAACACTAATGCGGTACGCGTATATGACAAGGAGGCTGAACCCAAAACGATTATTCTATAAATGAGAGTGATTGAAGTTGAAAGAGTCAGTTGTGATCATGGACCCAAGGTGGAAACATCCGTTCCCTGCACTTGTGGCCGGACCTAACTGTTGTGGTAAAAGTCAATTTGTGAAGCGTTTACTAGAATCGGGCGAAGACATGACTGATGGTGCCCCGGAAAATATTATCTGGTGTTATAGCATGTATCAACCAGCCTACGATGAGATGCTTAAAACTATTCCCAACATTACGTTTGTGGAAGGAATGCCTGGTGATCTGGAAACCCTAATTAATCCCTCTCTTCGGAATTTAGTTGTCATTGATGACTTAATGCACGAGCTTAGCAATGATCAGCAAATGACTAATTTGTTTACTAAAGGCTGTCACCATCGCAATCTCAGCGTGATCTTTATCCTCCAAAACATTTTTCATCTTGGAAAAGAACTGAGAGATATGAGTTTGAATTCTCATTACTTAGTAGTGTCCAAAAGCCCGCGGGATAGCAGTCAAGTCAATCATTTAGCAAGACAAATGTTTCCCGGTCATGTCAAATACATGTAAGAAGCGTTTGAGGATGCGACAAAAAGGGCCTATGGATATTTATTTTGCGATCTTAAACCGGAAACACCTACCGACTTCCGGCTGCGTACGAATATTTTCCCCGGGGAGACTCAGTACGCTTACGTCAGAAAAGTATAAAAAGCGTGAACCACATCAAATTTCTTCAGCTGAGGATGGCACAGCGACTGAGAAAGAAACACGATTTTCTGAAGCTCCTTGTCAAGTGTACCCCAGCTCAGCGTAAAGCTATTTTGAAGGTGGCAGACGACGCTTTAGTAAGAACCATTTGCGAAAGTGTTTTAAACGTGCTTAAAGGAACAGTGCCTGTCAGTAAACCAGCCAAGAAAAAGCTTTTACCTCACAAGAAATCTTTGATCGCTTTAGCCGAAAAAAGTACACCACTCGATAAGAAAAAGAAATTGTTGGTACAACCCGGAGGAAATTTTTAAGTGTTTTGTTACCTCCCGTTCTCCGTGTGCTAAGTTCGATTCTTACATAAAATGAATCACACAAAGCGTATGGTTCTCGTGCCCGAGAACACCTTGGAAAGATTACAGCAGCGCCAGCAGATTTTAACCCCACCCGTCACACAAACTCTGAGAAACTTGATTAGTGAAATGACCGATATTTTATCCAGTAAAGAACTTGATGATGAACAAAAAGCTAGGCTTTACAATCAAGTGTTGCAGCGGTACTTGACTTATTACGATCAGCGAAAAGGTCAACCTCTTCATGTGAAAATATCAACCCCCAAAGCAGTAGAAACACCTAAACCAGAAGAAAATGAACAACCTTCGGAAGAACCTGTCCCGGAAAAATTCACTTCATCAGCCGTAGAGGCAGAGGTCATGAAAAGTGTACCCAAAATTTACAAAGCCAGGGCTAGACAATTGTTGGATAAAATTAAAGAGCATCAAGATGTATTGCATTGGAATGATAAAGGAGAGCTTTTGTATGAAACCAAACCCATTCCAGGTTCTCATCTGGTGGACCTAGTCAAAGACACATTGCGCCACCGCAAATGATTTGAACCAGTAGGATGGTCAGTGTTTGCGAGGGGTCTGGCCCGAATGAATGTCCCGGAAAATCTAGTGCGTAATCCACAGAGGCAAAGTGCTGTTCGAGAATTTAAAGCAAGGGAGAGAGACGAAACCCCTAACAGTCCTTCCCGTTGGCTACCTAGCCCACCTGTGACGGTATCCCCCGTGAAAAAACAGCGGCGAAGATATGCGAGTCCACGCCCTGAGGCTGTGCGCTGGTTACGGTTATAAAATCACCACAAGAGACATTATTATTATTATTATTATTATTGTAAATCATCTCTTTATTTTCTTCACTCAATAAAAGATGTTGAAACGAAATTACAAGGTGTTTATTTATTGAACTTTGTGCTGTGCTTGTGCTCTTTGCTTGTTTACATCAGTGCGATATTTCGGAAGACTTATAGGAAAATGTGTTTCAATAAATCGCTTGACAAGACTATCATTTTTACGTGTGTTATTAAAAAAACGATGCACAATTGTACTCATACTTCTTTGCCGACTACGATATAAAGCAAAATACAAACAGTAATGTCCGCAGACTTTGGAATAGATGCTCTGTAATGTCACAGTATTAAAAATCCACTGGTTACAATTGTTGTTTAAAAAGGTAGTAAATGTTCCTGAATATTTGCTGGGAGGTGCTCCGTAAGAATCGAAAAATTCTCCCTCTTGCTCCTTGGTGAAATAAAACGCCACCCAATGCGAACCTGGCCTGTCACTCGTATCCACATTGGCAATGTATAAGGCTGGGTATTGCGAAACACTTGCAGGTAGCTTGTCTGAGGGATACACGCCTTGAAACACACCTCGTGTAAATTTATCCTTTCTCAAAATAAGGGTCAGTTGAATGGTGTCCATTTCTAGTTTGTGTAGTCGTAGAGAACGTTTCGGTTTGCGTCGACCTCAATCACGTTTTGAAATTCAGCGTAGACGATAAGGATAACCGTGTTGGCGAGTGCTTCCGAGAAATGAAGCTCCAAGCGCAGGTTTCCTTGTTTTATAAGCTCAAAATGATCTCCCGGGCAGTGATCTGGGGTCAAATCAAATGCGAATAAGGTGTAACCAGAGCCGTAATCACTTCTATTTATCTGATTGCCCGTATCCTGGGAAAGCTTTCCAATACCAGAGAAAAGACTTTGATAGCCGGCTATCACATTTTGACCACCAGCGGCGTCAAACTTCAGGAACAAAGGTTTTCGGGGGATTTGTTCTCCGTCCACGTACACACCCACTTGAGTTAAATTGTGGTGATTGAAGTTGAAGGGGTTGGTACGGTAACTCCCATTGTAAGCCTCTATGTCCACTAATCCCAATACTATGCGCTTGGGAATTTGACCCAAAAAGATGTTGTCAGGGTTAAAACTACTAAATTCTCTTGGAATAGAGAGTACTTTACAGTCGATTCCGCGAATGGGGTACTTGGCGCTGGCGTGTTTTAGCCCAGCTGCATGGCCTAGAATGATAGAAGAGGCAACCTTGACTCTGCGTACAAACAAGATGGCTTCTGTGATAACCACTTTGAAATTAGCTCCGGCTGCTGAGGACACAAGACAAAACACATTCTTGGCTCGGTTTAGTTCGATTCTTAAATTAACTCCATTGAGCATCAACCGGTCTTGAAAGAATATATCACTGTGAATGGGTCCCATCATATCCACCGTATGACTCTCTTTGATAAACTCATAACGAGCCTTTAATCCAAGGTTTGCTTCATCGTCTGCAGCCAAGGGGTTCACTACATTCATCTTTCCAGCAGTATCTTTGTAAAACATGGCCATAGAAAGTTGACTTGTTTTAGCTTCTTCCCCGTAGTTCACCAAAGACTCGATCATGGCACGATAGGGGTAAGTATTAGTGGATGCAGATATAAGTCGCTCATTCAAGGAAACGTCTACTTGGGAAAAAAGAGAATGTAAAAACAGGTTTACGGGACCCACTTGAATATCGGCATCTAACGCGGTTCCGTTTGCTTTTGTGATCTTAGCTTTCACATAAAGTTGTGTACGCGCTAAATATAAATATTCTTCTCCGGTTCCAGATACGTTAAATTCAATAGGACCAGTGTCCGTGATGTTGCTGAGACGGTGATATTCAATCCATTGCCCTTTGTGAATAGAGGTTTGTGTAGCAGGAATAGTAAAAAGATCCAGCTCTAATTTAGTACACTCGCGTGACTCGTGATGCACAAAGGCCATAGTTACTTCCAGAAAGAATATTTCTCTTCGGGCTTCTTTTGCTGCGGAGATGTTTTTGCTTTCTTGCCTAGAGGCGAACTGATTTTGGTCCCTTGCACTTTCCTTTTTATAGATTTTTTGCCAGCTCCTGATTGTCCCTGCAATGCATTCTGGGATGGTAGACCGAGGGCTTGTTTTGTGCGCTTGTGGACTGCTGTTTTAATGTTATCTCCATCAAGAACATCTTGGGCGACATTGACACCCATTTGTAAAGCTTTTCTTCCAATCACCTTAGCACCTTGTGGCAGGTGAGGCATCGCCCAGCGGAAGAGACCTTTAAATATCGAACCTAAGCCATACCCTCGCTGAAATCGAGCTCCATGAAAAGCGGGTAGATTCTCACCTTTTTGTTAGGCTTGATCTACATAGTACTGTTTGTAAAGCTTATGATTTGGGGCGTGGAGTTTTTTCATTTTTTAAAAGTACTGAGGTTGACTCTGACGGAAATGAAGTGTTAACAACAATCTTCCAAACTCAAATGGCACAGATTCCCCTGTGTCTCGCTTTATATTGACTTCAATGGTTTCAAATTGCTTTCTGCTGACAGGTACATATTGAGGGCGCAAAAACGATTTACTAACTCGCTGGCCGTCCTCTCCTTCTACGGGAACAATTCGAAGCAAAGGGACCAGTGCATCGCCAACATACTGTGACTGAATAAGATCACAGTAAACGAAAAGATCGTGAAAGCCGTATTCCAAATCCACTTGTCTGTCCCCCTTGGTGGTCTTTGAAATAATTTGTTCGTGTTTTTTATCGTACTAGAGCGACGCTTATTAGTAAACCTAATCCAAATTAGTATGCAAGAAGGTATGCTGTGACGTCATTGACTAGGCACCTAATCCACCTAATCCATCGCAAGGCTTACCTTCATCCCTAGTATACTACTGAGGTTGTAAAACTTGCGCAATGTTTCTTAACCATCAACATTCAACGGTTACTCTGTACTGTGATAAAGTTGCATCTTGTTAAGGTGACTCGACCCAGTTTTTTTTTTTTTTTTGGGGGGGTACCAGCCTAGTTTGAAGCTCTCTGGTATCCCCACCTTTACTTTTCTCGTAAGTCTAACACATAAAATGGATAACATATAGATCAATCTACAATATAACATAAAATTTTTGGCGATCGGAGTAAATGTCACGTGGTTATAATGCCACGCCCCTTTGAGGTCTGAGTCGAAAATCTGCTGTTGCCGGTATTTTTTCGTGAAAATCTCTCGGCTACACATAGTGCGCATTAGTAGGGAGCTTACGAATTGACGACTTTCGCACGACGACGCCGTTGGGCCACGTCATAGTCCTGCGTCGCCGTTATCTAGAAATTTGAATTTACGATTTTAAGTAAAGACGACGACGTTGGTACGCTTGCTGCAAATTTTCCCGCCGTTTCTGAAGTTTGTTTTTTATCACTTCATGATCATAAGCCGGGTTGTTCAAACCAAAATGCCGAACTTCAGAGAAACAAGAGCTTGTATTGCTTACGCTTATCGAAACAACTTTTTAAAAGAACAAGAATTTGTACTTTTATACGATGCTCATAAGTCAAAAACCTAGAGTTTCCGTATTGGAACTACGAAAGGTTCGATTTGGACGAGAAAACAAACGACGAATGCAAGGTTGAGTTTCGTTTCTACAGAGATGACGTTTATAAACTTGCGGAACAGCTGCAGTTACCTGACGAGATAACCACTTACAATGGTTTAGTAGTACCTTCGGTACCTGCATTATGCAAGTATCTTAAGCGCTATGCCTACCCTTGCCGATACGGAGATTTGGTTTACCATTTTGCCAGACCGGTTCCTGAGATTTCTATCATAAATAACCACATAATGGACTTGATTTATGAGCGCTGGCATCATCTGCTTACAAGGTATAATCATGATTTGTTATCCCATCCCAAGCTTCGCCAGTATGCTGATGCTATCCAACAAGCAGGAGCTGCCCTAGATAACTGCTGGGGATTCATAGATGGAACTGTACGTCCAGTTTGTAGGCCTAACGAAAACCAGCGATCCATCTACAATGGCCATAAACGTGTCCACTCCATTAAGTTTCAGGCTGTCGCTTTGCCTAATGGATTAGTGGGGAATCTATTTGGCCCAGTTGAGGGAAGACGCCATGACAGTTTCATGCTAGCTGCCTCCGGATTCTTGCAGGAACTGCAAAGGTTTTCTAACTGCCCCGTAACTGGCCTTCCCCTCTGCGTGTACGGTGACCCCGCCTATCCGATACGTGCACACCTACAAAGGCCCTAAAAAAGGCGCAGTCCTGACCCCAGCTCAACAAGATTTTAACACCTCAATGAGCACAGTTCGCTCTTCCGTAGAGTGGATATTCGGGGATATTGTCAATTATTTTAAGTTCTTAGATTTTAAAAAGAATCTGAAAATCGGATTGAGTGCTGTAGGAAAGATGTATGTAACATGTGCGTTAATGCAGAATGCACGAAACATTTTATACGGTTCTGTTACGTCAGAGTATTTTGGTGTTAATCCGCCAACTCTAGAGGAATACTTCATTTGATATAATGTGCTTAAGATACACTTGTAATACTCCAGTTATACAACATAAACACTCTAGTCGCTTGAAGGTTTAATTTGAAATGCAATAGAACTCAAGTTCAAAAAAGAACACATGTAAAGCCAATAGTAGTGTTAACACGCGTGCCAGAACATCTAGTGCAATAAAGTGATGAAAATCAACATCGAATGCTAAGGTTGCTTGTTCATGCTATAATATTACAAAACCAAAAACAACAACGAAAAAATAAGTTGCGTGTTTACAAGAAAACTGAACAATAACTACTCCGATCATAACTACGGTCCCTTTTTTAAGAGTTCAATGACTGCTTGTGTTTGCGCTTGCTGGCTGTTCAGCATCATTTGCATCATATGCATAAACTGCTGTTGCTGTTGCTGCACTTGTAACTGTTGCTGGTCCCGCAGCTGAGTGAACAATGCTTGCTGGGTAGCAGCTGTAGCTTCGTCTTGCCTCCTCTTCATGTCCAGCTCATCTCGCCTTAACTGAGAGTCCCTCTCCGCTGCCTCCCTTAGATAGTCAAGGGTGTCACCACTTTTTTGGCGCTTTTTTCGTGGTTCATCTTTGCCATTTCTCTTCTTAGTCTGAGCTAGCCTCTCCATGGCTCTCTCCCTCATCTCCTCCCCTGCTGCTTTATCTTGATCTGCCTTGTTTCGATCCACATCAGTGCGGGATTCCTTGGTCTTCTCTTCCTCCTCTCTTCTCTCGGTATTCGGGGGAAATTCCCGAGCCCCTCTCGGCCTCTCTCTTCCTGGCCTTGGAATCCCTTTCCAGGATTTTCAAACGGTCCCTCAAACCCTTTTGCGAAACGCAAAATTGGGGCTCTTTGATGTTATTCAGAATTTTGTATATTTCGTCTAAACAGTTTCCCCGCTCTCTGGTGCCTGAACGGTACTTCCAAATTTCCCAACTAAGGAGTTCGCGACCAAATATAGTGTCATGTTGAAGTGACCACTTCCTTTTCGGCATTCTGTGAAAAAAATTATAAAAATATATAAATATAATTTACTGAACAGTTAAATCGCTAACTTACTAAGCTAACTGTTAAGGTAACGTTTCTCCGCTAGCTATTTATCCATGAGATCACACTCGCTGGTTGATTGTCTTACAAGCTTAAGAAAATAACACAATAGAAAATGAAAAACAACAAAATCAGTTCGCACAGCGACCAGAAAAGCAAACACAGCTGCAAGCCAAGGAAAGTTTGCGTGTTTCTACAACACCAAGCTAGCTATAAGATCCCTCTTAACAAGAGAAAAGGAGTAAAAATAAACTTTTCATTGACTTTAAAATTGTTTTCAAAGCTGGCAGGGTAAAAAATTTTTTTTTTGTTCAGCGAAGTACATAAACTTACCAGCTATTAGCCAACTCGGCTCTGTTTCTTACTGTTGATGTGACAACTCCAAAAAAAAAAGATACGCGACTTTTCGGTCCTTTCAAATTTAATGAGCACCAGAAAATGTCTTATACTTTAGTGCAGTGTGATTAAAAAGAAAGATGTCCATACAGCATTCAACTTTTCATTCATACCTTTTTGTGCCTTCGCCAGCGCTTTCATGAGTTGCCATGGCTGTAGAAGGTAGAATTGAATGAAAACAGACAAAAAAGGTCAAAGACATTCGTGAAGAACATGTTACTAATATAATACTTTGATTTTTCTGGCAAAAACACGTGAATTATCGCTAGAAAACTTTGAAAACTAACCTCACGTCCTGCTTTCTTTAAGACGCCGGCAAATGGCTCTTACCAATGTCGTTGACTTTTACTCGACGCCGGCAAGTGCCAAGACAGGCATGCGCAGTAGGTATGTCACGCAATCCAACGGCGTCGTCGTGCGAAAGTCGTCGATTCGTAAGCTCCCTAGTGCCTTGCGCTGAACAGAGTTTCACCAAAATCGCAAAGACCCAATTCGAGAAATTCAGCGGTTTCCAAATTTAGGTCATAATTTATGCGAAAACGATAAGCAAACTTTACAAGGATTATGTGTAATAAACTATGAGATTCATCTCTTTATTTTGGGTATCGTTATAACAGATGGGTCCTTGCAAGTCTATTTCTAGTCTGTCATTATACAACATTTTTGTTCAGCACGCGTGCAATGACTGCGCTTGGCTGACTTCCGAATGCTGGCCGAGATATGATTAATTTTGGTACAGTGAGACAGGCCATTGCGTGATACATAGAGGTTTAATTCACAATTTTCATTCAATTCTCGTGCTTCTTGTGCCTTTGCAAAAAAATCGAGAAGTGCTACACACTAAATCTATTTATTATTAAAAAAATATTATTTTTTCATAGGTTTAATGCAAGCCAATAATTAAACTAATTCGTGACGGGAATATCTCGGTGAGCATTCGGAAGTCAGCCAAGCGTGGTCATTGCACGCGTGCTGAACAAGAATGCTGTATAATGACAGACTAGAAACAATAGACAACTCCCAACGCACAAACTCAGCCAAAACGCTAAAAATCTTCAATGTTCACTCAAGTTTGGGCTTATAGAAGATAATGTCACAGTTTTTCAATGACCATGAAATTCAGAGTCCGGGTACTTAGTTAATCAATTGTGGCCCTAAAAAAAATTTGAAGGAAAAAAAACTACGAATTTTTAAGAAAATTCTTTTTTCGTGAGAAGGACTCTTAAACGCTGACAAACGTCAACAAATAGCGAAAACTATAATTTCTATATGTTTGCTTTGCTCGAAATCGCACGCATTTACAAGGCCCTAAAGCGTTTTGCTGACTTGCAAGGACCCATCTGTTATAACGATCCCAAAAATAAACAGATGAATCTCATAGTTTATTAGACATAATCCGTGTAAAGTCTGCTTTATCGTTTTCGCATAAATTATGACCTAAATTTGGAAACCGCTGAATTTCTCGAATTGGGTCTTTGCGATTTTGGTGAAACTCTGTTCAGCGCAAGGCACTAATGCGCACTATGTGTAGCCGAGAGATTTTCACGAAAAAATGCCGGCAACAGCAGATTTTCGACTCAGACCTCAAAGGGGCGTGGCATTATAACCACGTGACATTTTCTCCGATCGCCAAAAATTTTATGTTATATTGTAGATTGATCTATATGTTATCCATTCTACGTGTTAGGCTTATGATAAAAGTAAAGGTGGGGATACCAGAGAGCTTCAAAGTAGGATGGTACCCCCTCAAAAAAAATGGGTCGAGTCACCTTAAAGAAGCTATGCAGAGTTCAAGTTCACTACCTTTTATTACCAACTTGAATTTGTTTGTAAATGCAAAAACATTCACTGGCTTAAGCATACATTTTATGGACATAATCCAATACTACTATTGTCAATTCACTCCGGTGTCTGCTTAAAACTCATTAAGATCCGAGACGCGGCGGCTATAAGAGGCGAACAGAAGTAAATTTTCAAAGAGGAGACATGTTGCGCATGCTCACGCCGTCATCCTGGTGTCACCACGTCACATCGAGAACATGGGTTTTGCGAGTTTGACGTTCTGTACAAAACAGCACTCTAGGATCACTGGACGTAATTTTTGGCCACATTTTAGATCGCAGAGATGGAAGGATTTTGATTATTTTTAAATTTCTTTCAGGTGTACGAAGCTTATAAAATGGCAGCGCCTTCGACTTCGAGCAAGGCTTGCAAGTAAGTCACGAGCTAAAACTGCAAATAGTGACTACAGGAGTCTTCTGCATACTCTTCTCGTCTCTTGTACCGACCGTTGCAATTCTCAATTTATTGCGTTCATCTGCCGCTAAAAGCCAATTTTAAGCCTGTATTATTTAATTTTACTAAACTGCGTGTGTTTTTATGCTTCCCTTTAGTTCAGTAATGTTTTTGACACATGATCATCCAGGCATTCGATGCAGAGAAGTCGTCAATGTAAATCCCTACACAACTAAGACAGGGTCAACACAGAGAATATAACATAACATAATTTATATAGCGCTAACTCCACTAATTGACCAAAGCGCTTTACAATTCATAATATTAAAATAATTAAAAAGATCCCACTGGTAATAACATATGAATAACTGAGCAGTATGTGGGGAAAAATAGCAGAGACCTTGAACAAATGCACTGTGCCGAAATTCAGGGTTGATATAAAGCAATGAGTCCGAGACCACGTGGGAATCCTTGTTTACAAGCATAAGAAGAAACTTCTAGCGAAGGAAAAAGCAACTGTGATAACTCCCGATGAGCCAACGGAACTGGAAAACCTATTGGATATGATCATCGCATTGGAGGAAAAAACTAGCAAAAAACTTCAATACGATCGGGCTAAAGCGGAAGATGTTAGACTAAAAGCGATGGAGAAGCTGTTAGGGACGAAGAAAAGAGGTTCTTCAGCGGATGAAAGCGATGACAAACCGAAGCGTCAACGAAGAAGTGGTGATGCTATCGAATACTTAGCTGAAAGAGCTCAAGTAAGTGATCAACTGAAAGAGAAGACCTATTTAAAAGATGAAGGGAGATCAGCAAACTCTCGAGAGAGAAAAAATGGAGGTTTTGAGTAAACATCAAATTCATATGCAACAGCAACAAGCAGATATGCTAAAACTTATGCAACAGCAACAGCAACAGCAACAAAGCCAACAGCAGTTACTCAACTCTCAAATGATGATGATGATGTACCTGCAACAGCAGCAAAGGCTTTGATAGTGTTATTGGAAAAAATAATAAGTAGTTATTCAGTGTCTACAAAGAAACACTTTCATATTCAATTGTTGTTGTGTTGTTAATTAGTTGAACTTGAAGTTTTGCTTCACATAAACAGTCTCTTTTGAGTAATGTTATTCTAGGCCATTTATTTCCCTCAGTGTTAAAGTTGCTACTACTGTTTTAACAACGTATATATTTCTGGGAGACAGAAACAACATATTTTAACACCTTTTATCACACAATATCTCTTTACAGTTCTTCAGTTTGTACATTATCCAACTTTTGTTTTGTTCTCACGCTGTAAACCTAGAGTTAGCGAAAATAGTCTTGCAATGATGGAGGGTCAACACCAAAGTACTCAGCAGTTGTGTTGAAATAAAGGCAGGTTAAAGCGTTTCGTAGATTTGCACAGACTATATGCACCTTTACCAGTTTGACTTAAACCTATCCTCAAATTCTTTTTAAAATCTAGAAATTTCAAATAGTTGATGTCTGCGAATACCCACTCCACAGATGCACGTACTGCACTCATTTTTTCGCTGACAATTTCCATTTGTCTGGTTAAAACCCCAACTCGGAAAGGAGCTTGGAGGTGGATTCTAAGCGGGTAGGCTGGGTCACCATAAACACATTGCTCTGCCTGCTGGATAGAAAGCAAAATTTTTCAAATCGTCATACAGACCAGAAACTGCCAACATTCGTGCATCGTGCATCCTTCCCTCTGTGAAAAAAAGGAAAAAAGTTCTAAAATTAGAAACTTGTGCCAAACAACTTGAATTGGGTGCCAAAGTATGTACCTACCAACAGGACCATATAGATGGCCAATTAATCCATTTGGGAGAACAATAGACTGAAAATTAAGGGCATGAACCCTTTTATGTCCATTGTATACAATTCTTTGGTTTTCATCCGGTCTAGAAATCGGGCGCAGAGTTCCATCTATGAATCCAAAACAATTTTCCAGTGCTGGTCCTTTGTTACTAATGGCATCAGCATACTCATTCAGTGCAGCAGGATTTAACAGGTCGTGATTCCACTGTGTTATTTTGTGACCATGAGTTGAGTACATCCAGTCTACAACCTCATTACTAATCATGCTAAGTTCTGGCACGGATCGTCCAAAAATAGGAATGATGTCGGAATACCAGCACGGGTAAGCAAACCTCTTCAGCATTATACACAGGCCTTCGGCTCCATCGCAAATTTTTCCATTGTGACTTCGGAACACAGGAGGTACTGTTAATGCGTCAACAAGCAGAGGAATGTCCCTCTTTTCCACTCGGGAATCGACTTTACATTCGGCTGGGTCTGTATTCGCGAGGGAAAACTTTTCATACCCCGAGTGAGGAAAAGGAAGATTTCTCGGCCTGTATGTATCGCAAAGCAGAACAAACTCTTCTTCATCTATGATTTCTTCTACTAGGCACAAACAAAGCATTTCTTGGACTTTCTTAAATGATGCCATGGCTATTTCTGCGAAAGAATTGCCAAAGAATCACACTGGTAAAGATCGGTTTGCAGCTGCGTCGTCTTGCATCGCGACGGAGATCTTAACTTTACTTTTCGCGCGCAAACGACGGCATTCTAGTTCCAGTACTTTATCAGCCACCACGTTCTAGAAGTCGTTGCATCCCAGATCTTTAAGTCCCTATTGTCTCCAGACCCTATTTGCTATGGTGTCCTTGCCACGGGTACAATTTTAGAGATTGGACGTAGTTTCCCAGCCGTTCTTAAAAAAAGCAAACAGTAGGCAAAAAGTAAGAAGCGGGGGTGTATATGCTGGGTGAGGGACCCTCCCTGCTTAGATTTGCAGTGGATTGATAATAAGGTCGTATCCTTGATAACAACTGTGGTCAACGCAAATGATCATGTCCAGGTATCCCGGAGAACAAGGAATGCTAAAAGATCGACAGATATACTTGCTCGCCAGCCTCAAATTTTTCAGACTTGCAACTTGAAAATGAATGCTGTTGACAGGTCAGACAAGATCCTCTCCACATTTAACATCCAGCGTAAGTGCCTGCGATGGTGGAAAACTATGTTTTTCCATCTCATAGACATAGCTGTAGTAAACATACATTTTGTTTTCAGAACATAAGACTATATAAGAATCCAGATGAGACCGAAATACAAGCTGGCTATTCACAATAGCTACTAGCTAATATTCCACTAGCTACTGGTTATAAAGAACAAGATGAAGATCGAGGAAGACAAGGAAGCGATCGGCGGGTTTCTCGGAAGAAATAAGAGCAGCAAACAAAAAATTCCACTAATAACACTCGCCTGAAGGTCAAAAGGAAAAGAATTTTCTGCTGCATTTCTATTCTTCGCCTCCTCGAGTCTTGTAAGAGCTTTACAAGTAAAAATTTACGCTGGAGTTTATGTTGGAGCGCCTTTTTTCTCACTGCTTACTGCTGTACTGACTACCGTGCGAACACAGAATTAAGCTCGACTCTGGCACGATGTCTGAATTTAAGTCGTCCTTCTGTTGAACCCAAGATTGATTAAGTTCGGCACGGTAGAAGCGTGACGTATGAACTGGCTCTTAATTGCATAATAGAATACAGGAACATTTCCATGAGCTACAATCTCATATTTCTATTTTAAGAAACCAGCTTAAAGGAGAGATCGAAGGGGTTAAAAGCACCTTGACAGAGTTAGAGAAATCGCTTGAATCAGCATGGAATGTCATCGCAGACCTACAAGCAGAAGCTAAGTCACACAGACTTCAAGAAAACCTGCTAAAGTAGTTTGGATATTGTAAAAAGTGAACTGGCTATGACTTCATCAAAGAATGCAAAGCTCGAAACCGAAATTGCCGCCTTGAAAGTAAGATTTTTGAAGAAGCAGCAGAAAGTAATTCCCCTTGAAAATTATTCCCTGTGGCAAGGCCTACGTTTCATGAACATACCAGAAGAAAAAGGTGAAAACTTTGCGAGCATCGTTTACGATATTATCGAAAACAAGCTAAACATAGAGGTTGAAAATCTTCAATCCCATGCAATACATAGAGTGGGAAAACGGCGTTTGTCGGATGAGTCATCGAAAGCTTATCCAAGGCCTCTCATTGCACGATTTCTATGTAGAGAGGACAGAGATATGGTACTAAAAGCGAAGGGAAGGCTTCGAAACTCTTCACAATATGAAAACGCAAATGTTACTCAAGACTATGCCAAAGCTATTCAAATGGAGAGAAAAGTTTAATTAAAAGCTATGTTTCTGGCCCGTAAAAAGGTATGAATGCTAAGGTTGTTGACAGAAACCTGGTGGTCAATAACAATGTTTGTAACGTACATAACATCCCGGATAATCTGAAGGAATCTAGCACCCTCAATTCAAATTCTAGCTGAGCAATCTTTCTACGGTTTATTAATTACACGTACAGGACCCAAACAAACTCCCCAGCGCTACTGAATTTCCCCTAGATGTTTCCGGATAGCAAGGAAGCTCGGAGTAATCTGCTTGCCCTTGATACTTACCACAGAGCAGTCGATCAGTTTTGCCAATCCAGTGACCATGAAAGCAAAATGGACATTGCTTTTGAAAAGGGATCAGACAGTCCAGCATCAATTCACCCAACCAGTTGACGCTCACATGAAAACTACCACCAGAAAAAGTGTACTGGAAATTAAGTTATTGTATCAGGACAGCTGGCAGGCGCTCAAAGTGTTTGGGAGACATCTATATTTCTCATGGGATAGAAGAAGTGTACAACAGAAAAAACATCCGAGAGGAGCTACCATCTTCATCTGATTGATTCTGGCAAGTGGGTTCAAAAATTCCCCTGCACTGCGACTGTACTCGGCACATGTATTTGAACTTATTAGCATGAATGGAACAGCAGTAATGATGGCCCTGCGTAATGTCTGAGACAAATGTGTAAGCAAGAGCTTGAAACAACTGGTGAACAAATTGAAAAGGACATTCCTTCTTACTTCCTTGAAGCAAAACCAGGCAACACCATCTGTTGTTTTAGACTTCTAGATATTTCGAGCAACAGCAATTTGCCGTTTGTCCTTTGTAAATTGGACTGAATCCAGTAATTGGGTGGAACAGCGAAAGAGAAGGATAACCACGTCAAATTTTCATGATTTTTACACTAAGGTCAACACACTCCTTGCTGGACGAAACTAGTGAAAACGGAGCCTCTGCTAAACAAGTTGATTAATCACTAATAAGAAATATTCAACATTAGTTTTTCCAAACGTGTTTCTTTTGTTTCACCCAAACTACACCAAGAGTTCTTCAAATTGCATGTAGTAAATTTGTTAACACTATTACAACTTTCACTTGACATTATACTACTTGGAGGGCAAAACTCGCTCCTTCCCTGTATTCAGTTTTATTCACAGCAGGACACACACCATTGAAAAACAACGGCAGTCACAAACTATAATGCTTTAACCCATTTCATGTTGATACCAAGAACGGGTCATCGATAAAATGGTCATGATCAGACAATTTGAATTTTTTCGTTCAGGCGAGGTGAAATTTCATCTTTTAAAAACTTAGCTGACTACAAAATACAGTTGCGATCATCACCTCATAATTAAAGTGCATGTAAGCACTCGTGACAATAATCAACAGCAATATGCTGGTCCTTTCAGGTCATACCCTTGTTAAACGTATTACAGAAAAAATTGGTACGTGTTACAAAATATGGGAAAAGGATAATGTAGGCTATAACCAGTGCCCCGTTTCTCCTTTTTTGTTTTGTTTATATCTCAGAGAGAAAGTTGAAACATGCAATTCGCCTACACCTATTGAAGCTGCTGTTTACGCAGTTAGGTGGGCTCATGAGATTGTCGGAGCTAATTCTCCAACAGAATGCAGTTTTCTTAAGTAAGTTTTGGAAGCTTCTAAACGTTTATTGTGTAAACCTGTTCAGGGGAAACAGTCTGTTAAAGTTGACTTAGTAACTAAAGTAGCAGAGAAATTTGACACTCCTCAAGCTTCTCTTTCTAACCTAAGAACCTGCTTCATATCTATTACTGCTCTGCTGCTCTCATGCCTTGTGACTCTACTCTAGGCCGCCGTTTGGATTAGATCTAGCTGTTTAGCTGGCACTCCAAACTTCGTTGCTTAAAAAACTGGAAGAAGCACAACAGGCCACGGTCGAAACATCATCACAGAAAGTGCGAGTGCTGTTGAAGTCTCCAAACTTCAGTAAGAGCCAGGTTGTAGATGGCTTACTGTCAGTAAAGCTGATCTCCAAAGAGAGGAACCACGCGAAAGAGGGTTTCTATGACTCTGTATTTCAAGCAATGTTCCAGAAAGCTGCTATCCCAGATGATCTCTTCAAAAAATACCTGGAAGTTCTCCTTGGAAACAAGGATGATGAGAAGGTTATGGAGCTTACGTCTAACACGATGCGAAATTCACGGCCAAAGCGGCGGGATAGTAGGCGTCACTGCTATAGCTTTGGTGCCTATCGCCATTTCCAAGCAACCTGTCCATTTAGCGTTACGAGTGGAGCCTCCCTTCTCGTGTATTGGCATCTTGTAAACAAGGCCTCTGGGTGTAATAGAGAAAAAAAATTTCAGAGATTCGGAAAGGGTTAGCAAAGAAGGGGAATGTTTAACGCTGTTCAAAGTACTTGACCAAACAGATATTCTTTTATTGAGAGCTGCTTGATGTTAGTCGCTTGTAAAGAAGGTCATTTGTTGCTTCTTCATAATCCCCCAAAAGCAGTGTTCACAAAGTAATAGTATGGTTTCTCAAAAAACAAGTAGTAGTACTGTAGTTTTTGCCATAAGAAAAAATAGTTTTACTCTAAAAAGTCGTGTTGCCTCTAAAAGTAGTTTTTCCCATAAAAAAAGTAATCTATTCAGAAATCGCGTAGCTACATTTTCATAACATAGTATTGTAGAATACCCCAAAGTCAAGTTCGCAATGCTCAGTTGTGACAGAGTTAAAAAGAAAATATGGCGAAGGAACATCCTCCAAAGAATTTTGTCCAAACTGCAGGAGAAAGTTTCATTGTCTAACACAAGGCCTTTTGGAGAATGGAGGAGCAATTGTGGTCTAGTCCAACGATATAGTGTTTTGTGACGCATGTGACACGTATGATGTCCAACAAAGCTAAAATATAACAAAACACTACCAGATAATTATACAGTTTAACTTAATTATTGCATTATTGAGCCAAGAGTAAACAGTATCAAACATAAGAGGATAAAACAATTTCCGTTATCGTTTGTTTTAATAAATGCAAAAAAATACTTTTTAAATTTTCATGCAGATTATTCCAAACAGAAGGGCAAGGGAAGTTTATAATTAGTTCTAATCTGATCACTTTGATGCTAGCCTAGTATTATAGCCTAGCTTTGAAAGAAATGACTAGCATCTAGATGTTTCAACGGTGTTTCCAGTAAACATCACGGAGAATACTGTACAACCCCGACATGATCCCCAACCCTGAAAGGACCCCCAAATTGACCCCGAAATGATCCCCATTTTTCTTCTTGAGGACCCCGAAATGATTCTCAAAGAATTAGGGAAAGGTGATTAAAAACCCATTGTCTTCAGGGGTCACGGAAATCGGAGCTTGAGGATCGATGAGGTCAGCACCTTCGCAAAAAATTGCGTTACTTCCGATTGCTCCCAAATCTGGCACAAAGGAAGTTAATAGATTTAGCCAATAACAGGCCAAGTTTCATGCCATATAAGGCAGTGGTGTTGGCATTAGAATTTTTAGAACGAGAGAGTGAAATGGCGTCCACAAATGGAACTTCACGCGGTCGACCTATTCCTATTGAAGACGCTATTGGGATGATCCAAGACCTAGAAAGTCACACAGGAGGTTTGTTAAGTGACAAGGAAAGCGATCTGGATCAGCAGCTATACAATATGGACGAGAATCGGAGGTAAGTGCTTCGTTGAAGTTCGAGGAGACTTGCTTCACATGTGCTCCGCGTAAAGAATGTTGTCTTTAAAGGGCAGGTATTTGTCGTTTGGATCGACCTTCCCGCGATCGAGACCTGTATTCTAGTTGAAATAGATCTCCAAGTTTATATTTTTGCTCGTAAAGTTGGACTTACTGGGCCAAAGGTATACTTTTTTTCATATTTTGCTGTATGCTGGATGAGACGCGCAAGTCACCTGGGGACGGGGAGATTCTCATGGTGACGCAAACTTTGCGTGTTTCTCCTAGGCAACGCAATTCGTTCGCGTTTTTCCTCAGCAACGCTCGAGTTACAATTTTTTTAACAGAACTGTAGTGTGTTGTAGAAAACCTTCCTATTTCTTTCTTTCTTTTATTTTTGGCAAAGTTTCAAATATTTCCTATATTTTTTTCACTTGTGTATTTGTGTTTCAGTGAACAGAAAATTTTGCTTCTCTTTCCTGTTTATTACCTGGCCGTTTTTATGGATAATTATAGTTATGCTGCTAGTGGTGATAATGATGATGGTGCAGACATTCAATCTGTAGTGTTGCCTTTACACGCAACACCTGCACCTCTTCCTACAGCTGCTTTCGCAGCTCCCCCAGCTGCGTCTGCAACTCCCCCAGCTGCACCCCTGGTTGCAGAAGTTAGTGCGGTTCTTACCGGTCAGTATTATTTTATTGTCATTGTAGATAGTAATTCAATACAGCTGGTAGCTTGTCTTTTCTTTTATCGTCTTTGTATCATAACAATAAATCTGTTTCTTTTTATTTAGCTGCTACTCCGGCGGCTACTCCAGCCAGGTTCTATGGCCGAGTACATCCTCCTGCACGACTTGGTAAGTAATTATTTCTATAGTTTCTAAAGTGTGTTATATTTCTAAATCAAATATTGTTTGTTTCATTTATGATAAAGTAGTCATGAGTTTCAAAAACATAGAAGTAGCCAGCATGTTTGAATGGTGCTTATATTGAACCACTGAGTAGTGAAATGTATGTTTCTGTTTGTGTAGTTCGCAGGGTCCATGTTGTTGATCAGCCTGCTAACTCTGGTGCTGGTCACAGCAGGCCATGCTGCTGGTTTTAGCAGAGCTCGTGGTGGAGGCCATGGTGGTGTTGCTGGTCGACGTCGTGCTGCTGATGATAGTGATTCAGAGGATGAGGCCAGTTTCCAGAGCTATGATGACCCTGATGATAGTGAAAGTCCTGTTCCACCCTTCGAACCATCTAGCACAACTGGCTTTAAACTCCCTGGATACTACACAAGGGGCTCTCTTGCCACAGCTTATTCTTTTTTTAAACTTTTTTTTACTGACAATATGATAAATAGTATAGTTGATCACACAAATAGTTACGCACAAGAAAAGCCCTTTAGAGGTCTAGGCTCTTCGTACACCTTTTCTGATCGCAACTGGCAGGACGTGACCGCCAATGAAATCAGAAGGTTCATTGCAATTTTGATTATTTCGGCGTTGTTCACGTCCGAGGTAATGTCCAGAAAAACTGGAGTATGAAGACCCTCTCCCATGGTCTCTGGACCAGCGCAATCCTTTCCCGCACGAGGTATTCAACAATCTTAGCCATGTTGCATGTGGTAGATCCCACAACAGAAGACCCTTCAAAATAAGCTAGGTAAGGTAGAGTCCTTCATAGAGGATTTTAAAAAGCTTTGTAAGGAATTGTATGTGCCCCAGAAATATGTGGCAATTGACAAGCCCATGGTAAAGTCTCGTCACAGGTCTGGGTTTCGCCAGTTCATAAAGGACAAGCCAACCAAATGGGGTATAAGACCCTGGGTGCTGGCGGAGAGTTCCAATGGCTATACCGTTGATTTTAACATCTACATCGGTAGAGCTGCAGGGCAAACTATCGGTGAACACGGGCTTGGGTATGATGTTGTCATGCGTCTCTTGGCCCCCTACTTTGGGAAGGGATACCATCTTTTTGTGGACAATTTTTACTCCACCCTTACCCTTTTTAAACATCTTTATGATCAGGGTGTCGTTGCCACGCGTACAATTTTTTCAAGCAGGCATAGTTTCCTACCCACTCTTAAAAAAAGCCAAGAGTGGGCTAAGGGTCGGGAGCGGGGGAGTATGCGCTGGGTGAGGGACCCTCCCTGTCTCCTGCTGCAGTGAGTAGATAATAAGGTTGTGTCCATCATAACAACTGTGGGCAATGCAAATGAACAGAGCCAAGTGACCCGGAGAGTAAGAACGGATGGAGAATGGGGAGAGACTCAGCCTCAAATTTTTAAGACCTACAACATGAAAATGAATACTGTTGACAGGTCAGACCAGATCCTCTCTGCATTTAGCACCATCTCATTGATTTTGCTGTGGTTGACAGTTTTATTTTGTTTCAGGCACATAGGGCTGAGCATAAAGAGATCGTAAAACCGGCTGGGTATTCGCAATGTGATTTTCGCGACGAAATTGTTCGGGAAATCTGTGGCTTTGAGGAGTATGGTGATCCCCTTACTTTTACATAAAGTATAACTAAAAAGGAAAAGGAAAAGAAAACCAAGTAATGAGTCTAAAAAGAAGATTAAAAAGATGAAAATTCAAGAAAGCAACCTCTCCACCACTGCTAGTGTACCTCTCGACTGCGAAGCCGAGTGTGGAAAGACGTCTGCATCCCCAGGCAGAGAGAAGAAGCAGAAGACCTCTCATGAGGTGAAAGCAACAAGTCAATTGCCATGCAACTTAGGTGAATAACACATAAATTATACAGACTTTTCCACGAATTTTTCTCTATTATTGTTTCTCCTCATACAACGTCAGAGGTGTTTCCCCCCTCCCCATGCTACTTGGTCGAGTTCCTTAAACACCTAACCGTGATGACTTAATACACGTGGGACACAATTCACCACAAACAGCTTTGTTTTTCTCCTTCGAAATTCCATGTGTACATTTGAGATGGCTTCCGAACTGGAAAGGGTACTTTTCAGGGAGACCATCTTCGTGGTGCCTTGAACAGTTCACTTGGAAGGTTCAGAGCTGAGAAGTTGTCGTTCGATGAGCTACAAGAATCTATTAAGAAACTTTGTAGGGAGGATGACAATCTGCAGTTTGGAACGATTTTCAGGGGTGACATTTTAGCCAATTCAGCTGAGTTGTGACAGAGTTAAAAAGAAAATATGGCGAAGGAACATCCTCCAAAGAACTTTGCCCAAACTGCGGGAGAGAGTTTCAATGTCTACCACAAGGCGTTTTCGAGAATGGAGGAGCAATTATGGTGTACTCCAACGATATGGTGTTTTTTGACGAATGTGACAAGTATGATGTCCAACAAAGCTTAAATACAACCAAATATAACAAACCAGTGCCAGATAATTATAAAGTTTAACTTAATTATTGCATTATTGAGCCAATTAATAAAATAAAACGGGTATTTCATCTTCAACATGTTAATTGCCCATGTGGAAAAAGAATATAGCTACAATATTTGAAGCCATATCTCGGCACACGACCTATTGCCTCCCACTGAGACTTTTGAAGATCATGACGTATGCAGGGCACGTTTTCTACATCACCCAACGTGTAAGAACAGAACACTGTTTGCCAAAATGTTGAGAAAATGTGTCTTTGAACACTGGCTCTCACACCTTCCTCTTCCCTACCGTGGTCATCAATTAGTCTCCACTCAATAGTCTCCCGTAATATCTCTGGATCTGAGAACAATTCTGTCAGCTCATCTTTTAAGTGGGTTCGGTGGACTCTCACAACTAAAGGTTCTGTAAAACAATAATAAATTGAGGATATCAATCTTGTAAAAATCGGGATTCTGTCATAGCATGAAGGCTTTCATGTAAAAGCCTATTCAAATAAGGGTGCTATGCATTCTTCACAATAGGTGTTTTTTATGAGTCATGTGACCTTGTCAATCATTTAAAAAAAGGTGATCATACAAAATGGTTAACAGAAATGAAAAGAGCATGATGAAATTGTATGGAACAATTTAAGTCCCTGGATAGCAAGGCTATTCATGTAACCTCTTAAAAGTAAATGCACAATAATTGTGCCACAAAGACTTTCCTATCTTGCCTCATTAAATTTACACCTCTACGCAAATGTCAACTTAACTAATCGTGAACCAGGATCACATCCTCCACCACCCTATTTCAAAGAAAAAGATATTTTCAATGGGAATTTAAATTTAAATGACAGGTGTTGGAAACGTGCATTTGACCTTTGTGCCCCAAGGACTGTCATATGCAGCCATTGCCTTGGATAAACGGTGCCTAAGCTTGATTACTAGTGTGGTACCACTTTCTTACATAATATCATCAATACTCCATGTAAAGAATATGTAGAACAAATATTCGAGCACATTCTAAAGAAAAGTCGGTTTTAGTATTTCTAAGGGTTAGCAAATGTAGCATTTTAATCAAAGTAATTCACTTAGGTACAACACAATACAATGCAATATTCTTTATTTAATGAAGGTGATGTAATAACCCAATAGCTAGGTTGAGCGCTTATTCGAATAAATACTTGTTGGTTACTTGTTGTGGGATGGTCTGAGATTTGATGAACATCTTTTCATCCTCCACCACAAGAATAAGGTCACCATCCTCCCAAGGCTCTAAAAATCGATGCTTGACTTTTGTTTCTCCCGCTGAAAGTTATCTGCTTTCGCCCTCACTAGAGACTGTTTTCTCAGTAATGTTGGACGCCATCATGATGTCTTTGGTTGACTGCATATAATTTACGTTCCTGAATAAGAGCAGGTTACCAGCCTTCATCCTGTAGTGGAGGTATGGTATTCCTTGCTCAAAGGCAAGTATCACAGACTGTATTAATTTCCCATTTGCTGGAGAGTTTTAGTCACCTGGAATTGAAAGTTTAAATCACTTACGTTTTTACTACTTGATGCCTTACCTAGTAGGTAAAGGAGAAGGAAATTAGTCTCAAACAGCTCCAGCAGGAGGCCCACAATGTTTGAGCAGTTTCACAAGTGCAGGAGGCTATGGCAATTTTTTTTTTCAATGGCAGAGCTGGGAGGAGGCTATAACTAAATTTAGTAACAGAGTTTGTTCAGTGAGGTTAATACGGTTAAAGGTAAAGATCATAGTTGAATCATTTTTTAGTTTAAATCAACATTATACTTTAGTAATATCCTGATAAAATAACTCTGTTACATTAAGTAATGTTCCACGCAAGAATGAGGCAGAGCAAATGCACGCAGCGCCATAGGGCGCTAAATGTTGAATTATTAACCCAATTAAAATAGAGCGTTTTGATTAGTCAAATACCCCAAAAATGTGAAAAATTAGCCAAAACATCGCTTTCTCATATTTTTTTGGATATTTTGGGTCCCAGGCTCCTAGTTGCTCTGTATACCGAGTTTCGCTGCCATGCGCGTGGTATTCGGAAGGCCCGGTTCAGTTCAGAAGTCACTGATACCTCGTTTCTGGTGTCAGCAGTTGATGCTGCGGTTTGAACTACATTTTCTTGTCGCGGCAAGTTGCTCAACTTGTTGATGACCGCGTTGACGATTTCTTGTACAGAACTAGCAGGCTGCACGTTGCCAGCCATTGTTTGCAGCTTGTGGAAATTCTCACATTCCCGTTTTCTAAGAGTAGCACTTCCTGTGATGCCATATAAGATATGCCCTATTACATCCGGTTGAAGCGCTAATCAGTTTCCGCTTCCTCTCGACTAGTTCTTTCTTTTTTCGATGTTAATTTTTCCGCTTCACTGCACTTTTGTATTGGCCATATTTTTCCATCAATTTTTAAACCTAAAACCACAATTTTTTTACTATCGTGGACCATTATATTTTTTGGAGCAAAATTTCATTTGCTTGACCACACACTTTCAATCTCACCGTTTATTTCCCCAAGTCAGTCATCTTTTTTTTAGGTTTATTTTTTGAGGTTTATTTTTTATTTTTAAATCTAAAACCACCTTTTTTTATTATCCTGGACCATTATTTTTTGTTTTAAAGTAGCATTTTGCTTATTCGAGCACATGTTTTTAATATCACTATTTATTTCTCCAGGTAAGTCACTTCTTTTTTTTAGGTTTATTTTTGTCCGCAACAAAAGGCCATACCTTTCTTTAGCAGAAATGGTTCCGTCAGTTGAATCCGAGTGTGTTAAAAGAGATCTGACACCTCAGTCAAAGTCGTTTGGAGAACCAAGATAAAAATTAAAGAGAACTGTAGGTAAGTTTCTCATTACTTAATTATTCAAACATCAATTACAAGCCTTGTTCATGTTTCCACGGTGGTATAAACTGATGGACATCACTTCTAAGAGTTTGCTAAACATGGCTTATTTGTTAGCTGGGTAAGTTCCCCCCAATGATAAAGTAAGCTGCAAACCCTTCCGCGTCTTACGTGCCAGCGTTCACAGTCTGCTACTCTAACCTTTTTAGACTTTAGAATAGGCGAAAACACTCTGGACTTGTCGATTTTTAACATCGTCATTATTTTGCAGGATCTGAAGAGGAACTGCTAGATGCTATGCATCTTTTACTTAATCCAGAGCCATGTACTCACATCAGAACCGACAAACTGTCTACGATTCTTGAAGACTTAAGTAGTTTTGAAATTTCTTTACAAACGGTGACAGAGCCTATATTCAACGCATTTCCAGAGGCACACATTAAACGTAAAAGGATAAAAGTCAGCACAACAACCAAAACAAGAATCAACACTTATCCTCTTTATAACACGTTAAATACTAGTAATATACTGATAAAGGATTATAGTCGTCCGAGTGCCTAGCTGTATTATGTCCTAACACGTGAATAGTTCTGTTTTACATTTCATGTATTTCCTTGCTTGTGACACATAATTCATGAATTAATTGCTTTTATTTAAAATGGGTGACATCAGTGATAAAGCCAACAAGTTTTTGGACTCTTCTTTTCAACAACACGTGTACTTTCTCATACTCCATAGAGCCAGTATTCCACCTAAGGGTATTGTAAAAAATAGTTATTGTACGTGTATTACCCTTGAATACTGTTCGCCGGTATTTCATCATGCGATCATACAAATATCTCAAGCAGGACATTGAGAGGGTTTAGAAAAGGGCCCTTTATATTATCAGCGCTGAGTGCACCTGTGACGACAACCTCAATCGCTTCAACCTCTCCGTCCCAAATATTATTTCAGGCGGCCATTAATATGTAC